TTTTTCTAAGAACTGGCTGCCATGTACTGTGCGAAATCAATCGATCTTGCAAGAATAAAATTTGGACATCCCTCTTCTAAGAATTCCAATTGAGTGTGTTAGTGTGGCCAGCTCAGGGCAATATGATATTATAAACACAGCACATATCACGTCTCTGCTGTTTATAACTTCATAGAAAAGAAAACACGCCATCCATAACAGTTTGAATGAGGAAATCTCTTCCAAGAGCAACACGATTTTGCTGCAAGACAGGCATAAGTAACGATGACTTGACGCAGCTAAACTCGTGTCCCATTATATATAGACAACAGGCCAGCGAAAAATCTAACAATCTACAGCAAAACCATCAATTATTATGGGTGTTATAACATAGGTGTGCAGCTGGACAAAACATAGACGTCGAACCCCTGCAGACGATTTAAATACCTGACGAAACATACACGTCAAACCACGCTGAACGGTTAAATTCTGTTAAAACCCTGACATATTTTGGTCATAAATGACCATCTTCATGGTTGATATCTCATTTTAAAGGAAACTTCAAGATTTACATAGAGTGTAGCTCCAATATTATGAAAGTTTATAAAATTTTAATAATGTTTATTCTGACAGATACTTGTAATATCCAAAAATGGTGGAAATACATAAGGACTAGTTCGTTCCTTAACATACAGTTATATGTAAAGAAAACATCATATATTAAAAGTGCCTGGCATGAAAATGTCAGACTTAAATTACCCAAATTTTCACTGATAGTTCACCTGGGTAGTTGAAGTCCTAAAGTTATGTCATTAGCTGAATTTTTGTATTTATTTGATTGAAGATTTCCTTAATCTTTTATTTATGTAATTAAACACACACTGTGTAATTTAATACAATTCACATGTAAGCCCAAAAATAATAATTCTCATTTGTTAAACTCTGATCTTAATTCATTGTTTCTTAAAATATAACTCAGTTTGCCTTTTGTTTCAGAGTTTTCTGCAACACCCATCTTAAACAACATTCATTATTATGGCTAAATAGAAGATACAATGGAAAAAACAGACTTGAAAGAAAGGGCCAGTCAATTTTCATGAAAGAAAATATATTTATGTGTACAAAAAACATGATTAACTCATACATGAATAGAATTCTGAAGAAAGAAACAGTTATCTCTTTGACATAGCTCTAACTCACATGATGACAAAATATACCCGTGATCATGCTTGTTTAAAATGAGAAGCCAGCCATATACTAACCTACACATCACTGGTACCCAAACAGTCCAGCACTTCATCTCTTTATGTTTCCACAGTTTGCCATGCAGTAGTGCTGTGTTTGTAAATACTTTTACTTAGATAACACATTAAAATTCCTAATATATCCAATCATTATAAAAATCCTTAAATATAAAATATATCTCTTATAAGAAATTAGCTTGAGGCAGCAGTACACAGTATAGTATGATGCAGCGAGTTTCCAGAAAGGTGCATTTAATAATGGTTCACATTGATGAACTCTTAATGTAATACTAGTTCTAATTTATTATGGAAATTTTATGACTTAGTAATTTTAAGTATTCTATTCATGTATGTAGATTGTAAAGTTTCCTTAAATATCAGGCATCCCGCCTGAAGATGGCCATTTATAACTATAACATGTTGGGGTTTTAACACTAATTAATTGATATGAGCAAATAAATTAGATGAATCTAGATGGTGGTTTCATATCTTATTTTAATGTATGAAGTAGGTTGGCAAAATGACCTGATCATCATTTAGAAGTTCCTTTATTACTCTTGCAGTTTTAATTCAAAAAGGAGAGATAACCCTCTCACTGTTACTGCCCTCTCACTGTTACTGAAAAATATTACGTGGTGAATACATTGGTTCCATTCATGATGCATGTTGTGCTTTTTCTTGCAGTGGAATTGTTTCAGCAATTAGAATGAGAGGGTTACTGTGTTGCTCTAGATGTATGTTCAGGTTGTTACTATGTTCTGAGGTATAGTAATTCTACTAAGTATTGCCCGTTTTCAGGTGGCCTTGTTGGAACAAGTGACAGCAGTAGTATGCCTTGGATTCCCAGTATTTACTGTGGAAGGGAACAGAGGGGAACCAAATGACACGCTCCTAGATCTGCATTGTCCAGTTCTCTTTGTAATTGGTCAGAATGCTTCCACTGCTCGGTATGTGCCCTAAATTTTCAGATTGTCACACAAGCGTGATTTTGGATGTACAGTGTTGCTTTCCAGGCACTTGTACAGACTAAAGAAGACTGCCTGTTGTTGAGGTCGTGTGTGTCTGCCTGGTTGTGACAGCAAATGAGCAAACAAACTCTGTAGCCTGTAGTCTGCAAGCGAACTATACCGACTAAGCAACCACCGCTTGTTGGTGAAGTTAGCGCAAACTTTAGCGGATAGAGGGTGTTGCGTGGTCAGCGCAGCGAATCCCCACGACCATTAATTTCAGGTTTCTAGACTGGATGACATAGCATCAGCACCTAAACTGCTGGACAGTTTTCAAATTTGATATGGGAGAGACTCACTTAAAGTTGTCATCAATTCTAGTTTGGTTAAAGTCAGACAAAAATAACAAACACTTTCCAAGAAGACATACATGTATTTCTGTGTGCATCTCAAGTATAAGTCACATATAGTTCTGAATGTATCGGAGTGAAAATTGAATCAGCTGAATTGAATAAAATCATTTTGTACATGTAATCAGGTATCTCATACACAACTAATATGAGTCTCATTAAAATCTGCAGGGCTGTTCATTTCACCATTTTTTAAGTAATTGATTTTACTACCCAGTGTATAACCATTTTTAAAGCCTCATTCAAAGCAGTCTGCTTGCATTTGGATGCAGTTGCATGCTTTGGTGATAACCATCTGTTCTGCAGTAATAGGAATGACCTTGTCCCACATCTTGAGGAAAACGTATGTAAATAGAACACGGCCCACACAGGAGGCTTCTTTATTTTTTTGAGTGTCCCTGTGCATCCTATATTAATTATTTTTCTCACTTTATCGGATGTAAATTGTTCATTTTGTTAATAATTTTATGTTCTTCAGACAAGAAGTTGTTGAGGATATCCGAGAACGTATGAGAGTAGAAACTGGATTAGTGGTGGTGGGATCGGCCGATGATCAACTGAGAGTTGGCAAAACAAAGAAACTAATGGAAGGCGTTACTCAGAGCATGATTGACCGATGCATTCTTGTAAGTATAAAGAGGACAAAGAAACTATATCCCCATGTTGTGAAGATTATTTGTCCCCTTCTTTTACTCCTCTCTGTATCATACTTCTCATTGTTAGTAAATACATTGGAGCACATATATTATATTGTTTCAGGGTTCTCTGATATTTTACTAAAGTACACCATTTGTGTAAAGTGATATGTATCATCATACATTTGATCCCAAAAGTGCAGCATCAGTTCAGATTGCCCAAGATGTACTAAAAAATGCTGAACTAAAAACTAATCTTTCTTATATATCTGCTCCCTTCTCTCATCTTCCAGCCGCCATTTCCTCACTGGAGGCAAGCAATAGCAATACTACTTTGTATCAGTTGTTAAGTTTATTCAAAACCACTGTTTCCAAATTGAATTTGGTTCCTGGAAGAGTTGGTGAAGTAGTAAAGGAAAAAGTACACAGCATTCTTTTAAAAAGCCCATGATGTGAACAAATTTGTGAAATTGAAGAAATTTTAGCAGGTAAATGTACTGAACTGGCAAGTAAAAAGTCACTAGCAGTGGAGAAAATAGCGGCTTTTGTACATGCACCCTTAAGTTTCTCTAAGGTTGAAGGAAGTTTTTCCCACTGTAAAGACATCTTATGAGACAATATGAGGCAACTGTACTGTGAACTGCAACAGAAGAGAAGTTGAAAGATTGGAGAGCTAAATGTGAATTTGATTGGTTTTTTAACTTGGAATGAAAAAATGTGGGCTTTGTTGCANTAAAGACATCTTATGAGACAATATGAGGCAACTGTACTGTGAACTGTGAAAGATTGGAGAGCTAAATGTGAATTTGATTGGTTTTTTTAACTTGGAATGAAAAAATGTGGGCTTTGTTGCGTGATTTGTATTTAAGTATACATTTTCATTGCAACTGAGTCATTTAGTGATTATGTAAAATTAAATTAAATGTTGATTTTTGGTTTCAGAATAATGTAAAATCAATTTTATTATTTGGTATGAACTTTTTGTGTGCATATTTTACATCCATATTTTGGGAGTGTTTCATTCATAAATGCATACATATTTAAGGTATTATTAGGGCATAAAAATCTGGTCCCTAATTATCACATTCTTTTCCCAGCAAGGCAGGGATTTCTGGGTTTCTATCTTCACTGTCATATCCAGAACAGCTGTGGGACCCACACAATCTTCTCATTCCATTGCTTCTCCACTGGCTGTATGGTACTAATGCATAAAAGTAAAACATTTGCACATTGAGAGTAAAGCATGAGGATGTGTGCTTCTGTGTGTAGGATGAAGTGGGTGACTTTCTGGGTAGTATCCTGATGCACCCATATCAGCCTCCAACAAGAGCTCCCCATATATTCACTCCTACATCACAGTCAATGCCAACAACAGGGCAAACAGGAGCAGGAAAGGTAGAACGGAAAGGCAAGCACCTTTCTTCCAATTCATTGGATAGCGAACCATCATCCCCTGCTGCCAAAAGATCTCGGCCAGGTTAGTATTGAGTCTGTACACAATAGACTGTCAAACATCTGTCATAATGGAGAGAACTGGTATGTGCAATTCAAGACGGTGTACAAAGAATATTATGTAATCGAGTTTGGAGCTATAGATAGTACTCATTGTGGTTATTCATTTATTTAACATCAGTTTAGTGGAAAGTGGTGTGACGGTCGTCCCAAGAGCAGTTCAGTGGCGAATTTGTTTTATGGAATTAACACTGTTCCTTCATTTACTTCACTCATAAGTCTTGTAACCAATGAACATACAGTAAACTTCAAACATTATGTGTTGCTATCACTGTTGGAATTTTGTTCAGCTGTCCATATGCTTCAAGATAGTAACTAACTCATTCACAGAATTTGTTCCCTTGTAAGAACCCAAGCATTCATGTTCTTCATTGTCTAAAAATATCTTTTTCATGATTTTCTTTTTATATAGAGCTTTATCATATTTCATATTGTATTTATTTCCACTCTCCCATATGTCTTCAGGGCATAGTGTTTAATTCATTAAGTACAGGAGTTAGTATACTTTTTTACATTTTATTGAATAGCATAATGGAACCAGAAGTATTCACTCCTTAACCTCCTCCGTATACTTAAGGATGTCATTTTCAGTATATCTGTTTCTTTACAATTATCTGTCATTTTATGGAATCATGTGAGAAGTTAGTATTAAAGAGCGCTGTACAGTGACAGTTTCAGTGAAGTATAGCACAGTGTAGGGATGAGGGACAAGGGGCACAATATTAGAAGCCATAGAAGAGAAAGTTGAAAGGTGTGATAAGGTAGTAGGAAGGCACACAGAACATTCAGACACCTCAAATGTGAGGTGGACAGCATGTCAGTAATCATCTAGGTTGCTGGCATATCAAATGCACTACAGTTCATGAAGCATGATTAATCAAGAACCTACAGCATGCATAAGTTATAACATGAAATACAAAATAGATATAATCCATTTTCTTATACTCTTGGCCTTACTGCAGCCATTTGTTTGGTACAGATTGGTCAAACAGAATTTACTTAATTTGTCACAACCTGTTGCCAAAGAAGACTTCCTGCAGTCACTGTGAAAGCTTCAAACATGTATAGAATTGACTCCTTACTTTATGGTATAAGTGCTGCACTAAGGTTCTCTTATTTTAGTGTGTCCTGATATAATTAAAAACTCTGACACATGATCATATGCTAGGATTGCAGTATCATCATTGTTTAAATTCAACATTAGGCATGTATGAATATTGTGACATGGAGAGTGGAAGAAGCAGCCATTGCTAGGCAGTGGCACGATAAATGGGGATTTAACATTGGAAAACACCACACCACATCATCAGATATATCGCCTATTTTAGGCAGTGGTGCAATAAACACCTCTTTGCAACAGCAGTGACATCACACAATATTAGGAGAACTGCTGGAAGAGGTGTTTTCTGTGCGGTCCGTCCCTAAGCTATATAATGAGGACCAGCTGAACAAGCAAGGCAATCTGCATCAAATTGTGACTTAGTTCAGAGACAGCAGTCTGAGAAAGGCAGTCCTGGGCCCTGGCTAGGAGACCAGTGGCAGAGAAGTTAGGTCTTTGAGTCCTGAGTCAGTAGTTCAGGAGTGCAGTTTTTGAACAGTAAGAGCATGAAGAATAGTCCTTGTTAGAAGACTGTAACCAGGCAACAACTAATGAAGGCTGTAACAAGCTGAGAAAACTAGTGTCAGTTATGCTGATTGTGCAGTGTTGTAAATGCTTGTAATTGCAAGTTGTAAGGGTCCAATAAATCTGATTACAAATCCAAACAGCATCTGTTGTCACTTATGATGTGGCAGTATGATATTCTCAGTTTTAGACAAGACTGATATGAGATTTTAGAAATATTCCAAAAATTGAGACAAGAATCTGTTGCAGAAATTTTCTTACATTTTGTGTGGTGTGTCAATGTTTTGCCTGTTTCTTCTTCCTGTCTATGCCTCCATGTGCTCTGCCTGTTTCATCTTCCTGTCTATGCCTCCATGTGCTCTTAATGCATTATGTGCTTTTCTTTTCTCCTCTGTGAAGTGTTTTCCTTATGGGCTTCTTCCTTTGATTGTGTGTGTGTGTGGGGGGGGGGGGGGTATTTTATTTTATTTTTTTAAAGTTTAAGTTTTAATTAAGTCATGTTTGGCCTCACCATAGCTCAAGCGGTTAGTCGCTGGCTTTCCACCGCCGTGGCCTGGGTTCGATCCCGGGGTCTGGTCAAGTGGGATTTGTGGTGGACAAAGTGGTGCTTGGGCAGGTTTTCTCCGAGTATTTTGGTTTCGCCTGCCAATCTTCATTCCACCAGTTGCTCCACAATCACACTCACCTATCATCTGGGGCTGGTACAGTAGGCCATAGTGGCCACAGTATAAGGGACTTAGTCCCACTCAACTAGCAATAAGAGAAAAAAAAAACATGTTTTATCTGTAACAGGTTAACAATGAAAGATACTTTGAATGTTAATGTTTTGTTACTAGGAACACCACTGAATGGAAATTCCACAACAATATCAGCTTCTGCGGCTATTGCTGCTGCATCTGCTGCTATAACACCCACTAAGTCATCCCTAACAACCTTGCCAACTCTGGTATCAGTGGCAGGTGCATCAGTTTCCCCAGGTAGAGTTTGGGAGAAAGGAAATATGCCAGCTTGCTTCAGTGGTTGTGAAATAACCTGAATCTTCATACTCTGTAGGCAGTATTTTGCCATATTAGTAGCCCTTAGTACAGTATTTGGAGTTTCCATGTATTTGAAACAGCACACAGTGAGATGACATTAAAACAAATGTCAGTGTTCATTGAAAATTTTGTTCATAATGATTACAGATTGTGAAGACAGAGGTGAGGAAACATAAAAGTGTGCTAAATTAAATAACATGTAAGTAATATATTATCATGAGCATTATAAGGTTTTAGGCAGGGATGGAAGAATTTGTTAAAAATTGGTATCTAGGCAAATGTTTTGGTTGCCAATGAGAGATGGATCACTATTTTCTTTCACTTTACTGTGACTTTTGCTTCTGATCAGTGCAGAAGACTAAATTTTTCTGTTGTTATATTGTTTGTCCTAAACACCCACAAGCCAGGCATAAGGAAATGGAATATTTTGTCTCTCTCTGTGTTAATATAATTGTTATGTTGTTATAACTATTCTTTAAAATTTACTGATCTGTTATAACTTTGATCTGGATCATCACAGATTACCACTCCATATGGGGGTGTAAATATAATGATGGATACATATTGACGTACAGTGATTCAGAGTCCTATGGTCAAACTTCGGGAGTTTGTTTGCAACATAATTTCATGCCCCGACCGCTTTACCCCCAAGGAAAGAGCCGCTTGTACCCATTGCATAGGAGGTTGGGTGGACCCCAGAGCCAGTCTGGAAGATTGGAGAAGTGAAAATTCTTCACCCTATCAGGACTCAAACTCCGACCCCTTAGCCATCCCATGGCCACTTGCTATACTGACTACACCGTGCCATCTCCAACAAACTACAAGTACATATATGGAATGAAAGAGTACAAAAAGTAGGTCTTGCCTGTAAACAGTAAATAATCTTATATCAAACAAATGGAGCAACACACACTACTCGTGGTGGATACAATTTATAGTGAGGGGCTACAGGCTGGAAGGCCAGGGTTCTATTCTTAGCAGGGAACAGGTTTTTCTCATGTCCACAATGTTCTTACTGGCACTGAGGCCCACCCTACCTCCTATAGAATGGATACTAGGAACTTAGTGCCAAAGTCAAGAATGCTGGACTTATACCTCCACTTCCCCATACATATTCATGACATTGTGCTGTTCTACAGTTGTGTCTAGGTAACAGAAGTGACTAATAATGACCCAAGGGGCAATGTGTTCTTCTGTATTCAGTTATTTACATTTACTGTCTTTATTTATTACTTCCAATTACAATGAATGAAGACAGATTATGAAACAATTAGCTCTTAAAAAAGTAAGTAAAGTAAAGCTATCCCCGTAACAGGCCGTGAAGGCCCATAAGGTTGTGAGACGTTGAGGGTCCCACATTGTCTAGACAATCGGCTCATAGATGGTGGCAAGATTGTCAGCCCTACACGCTGGCTGCCCTTCACCCCAAAGAACATTCCAAGAGTATTCCTGGTACTCATTTATGTTAGAGGCTGAGTCGACCCCACTATTAGCTCTTTTCAACATGAATTTTATATTAAATTTAATACAAATGTGTGATCATATAATGGGGACTTACACATAGTTTATGCATTCCTTCACAAGAACTGCTCAAAAACATCTCCAACTCACATGCTTCATAGCAATGTTCAGTGGTGCCTCTGACATGAAGCAATTGTTTTGGTTGGTCCCTGGTGACTTTTGCAGCTACTGAGATGCAGTTGACTGGGTCATCACGATCTTGTACTTTTGTAGCATAAATATTTTCTTTAATGCATCGTCATAAGAAAAGGTCAAGTGGGTTCAGATCAGGAGAATGTGGAGGCCAGATGATTGAACCTCCATGGCCAATCCATGTGTCTGGAAAATGGTTTTCCTGTCAGTTATATGTTTGGAATGAAAAGTAGGGAGATGCAGTTGTGTTGAAACCACACGCATGGTGAACATAAAGGGGTACATCCTGCAGTAAAGGAGAAATATTCCTTCAAGGAAATTGGCATACTGGATTACACCAAGATGATTTCCTATTATGTGTGGTCTTATTAAGTAATTGTTTATGAATTTGGCCGAAACGACACTACATCGGTTGTTATGAAGAGTGTCATGAAGCGTGAGAATTCTTCGGTGACCATTCTTATAAGTTGTGGAGGCTCTTTACTCCACTCTGTATGAGTGATGACTTATCACTACAATAAATAGCACAGAAATTCAGGTTCATCTACATTTTTGTTTTGAAACAGTCAACAGAGCGGTGATGAACTTCACTGTCCACTGGCTGTTGCCCTTATACAAGTGATCTTCATGGCCTGTAGTCCACAAGCGAACTGTACCGACCAAGCGACCACCACTTTTCGGTGAAGTTAGTCCCAACTTTTGTGGATAGAGGGAGCCACAATGTCAGTACAATGGAACCCCATGGCCATTAATCTCAATTTTCTAGACCGGAGCCTCTATTTCTTTGAAATAGCTCCACAGTTATCCTCACAAGGCTGAGTGGACCCCGTTCCATACCCACTACTTCTCAGAAAATCTTGTGGTGCCAGGAATCAAACTTGGGATCTCTGGATCTGTAGGCAAGAACTCTGACCAATAGACCACAGAGGCGGTCCCCTTGTACAAGTAGTTCATGAACAGCATTTAACTTCTCCTTATGCAGTGTATGTCAGACTATGTTCTCAAAAAGGTCTGTTCATGTCTGTTCAGTGGATTGGCAAGTACAGCTTATAGCACTCCGTCTTCATTCTGCATATTGCATGGACTGTTGCCAGTATATGCTTTCATGAATGTGCCTATTTCCATCAGATTGCAGTGTACCACTGCAAACATATGCCTTTTGGTGGGTTTCTGTAATCTGAATACTGATAGTGGCTTTATCTCAGTTCAGCTCTAGCATATATGTCACAGAAGCTGCTCACAAAATTGATACCAGCAACTTTGAATTGGTAAATTATGCCACCTTGTTTCACTTTTGTTGCTACTTTATCATAAGAAGCAGTGTGCTCATATAGTGTTAACTCTCTTGTGACATTATAAATGCTCCATGACATAAATGTACAAAACCAAGACAGAGAGTTTGAAACACCATAGCTCTGAAAGTATGTAAAATTTTACAGTTGCTTGTTTACATTTTGTGCTCCAAATTACCTTCTTAGTAACCACCAAGAGTTTGGCCAGTAGGATTTTCAATCAGTTGTCAAGTTGAAAAATATAGTACTTGAGGTTCTCACAGCAGTGGTTGTGAAAAGTTCTCTCTTCTGGGATATAATGCAATATAGTCCATTGAAGACTTCACTTGCTGCATCCTGCACACTGACTTCTTGCTCGGCTTACTCTTNTATAGTGTTAACTCTCTTGTGACATTATAAATGCTCCATGACATAAATGTAAAAAACCAAGACAGAGAGTTTGAAACACCATAGCTCTGAAAGTATGTAAAATTTTACAGTTGCTTGTTTACAATTTGTGCTCCAAATTACCTTCTTAGTAACCACCAAGAGTTTGGCCAGTAGGATTTTCAATCAGTTGTCAAGTTGAAAAATATAGTACTTGAGGTTCTCACAGCAGTGGTTGTGAAAAGTTCTCTCTTCTGGGATATAATGCAATATAGTCCATTGAAGACTTCACTTGCTGCATCCTGCACACTGACTTCTTGCGCGGCTTACTCTTCAACCTTGAAGATGGAAACAACATGTCCCTTGAAACACTGGTTAATTTGAAACAGACTACACAGCATTATATCCCGGAAGATAGAACTTTCATTCTATGAGTGTTAATAGTGTCAGTGTGTTAACATTATGTATATGTATGTGCTTGTTCATCATGCGATATCTGTTTGTGACAGTGTCAGATACTGTGTGGACCACATGAATATACATAAAAGTGGATATATTTTTAGAGACTCTTTATTTATGTGGCTCATGTTCAATTTGATGAAATTATAGGTTTCTCTTTCAGTACAAGTTCCACGACGTAAATCTCGAATGACATCTGCACAAAAGATGTTGCTGAATTCTGTAAAGTTACCAGGATCACAGGACTCAAAATGGGTGGGTCAGGTCCGGCAGGGAGTGCACTCCCCTAGTCAGGTGAATAGACTAAAATTCTGACTAACATGCAATATCTTTTAACAGGTAGAACTGAAATGAGTTCCGAATAAAATGTTAAGCTCTGCAAAGAACAGTCAGGTTATAGTTTTTAAGTTTTATTTATTATCAGTAGGATAAGTGATGTCTATAGCACACACTAGGATAATTCCATTCTGGAGATAGAAATTAGAAAATTTATTTTGTTGTCATAGCTATAGTAAAATAGGTGAGACATATACTGTAGTGTAGCTATGCATGGATCTTTCCTTTTCGATTGTATGCAGACAGATCTTCAAAAATAAAAGGAGAGAAGTTCCAATTCTTATGCATATAACGTGACAGTACAGTCAACTCTCGATTATCCGGGATAATGGTGGGGATGGGAATCACAATTAATCGAAAACCCTGTTAAGACAAATTTTATTAAAAGTAGTACTGTAATACTGTACCTTCATAATACTATAGGCCTGCCTGTATTTAAATTTATTCAACCTCATTTTTATGTCATCTTATGGCCTATTTAATACTTTTTTTACATTACACTGAAATATGAATTAGTTATTTCAATCACAGTCTTCAACAACATCCAACATTTTTTACGAATATTCACACTTAACACTTAAAAAAAATTTAATATTGTCGTTTACTTTTTCGTGGCATTTTCCTTTTTCTGTTGAATTCTTAACACAACACGCTTCCTTTTACACCGTGACGTTTTGCTAACACACTTGAAGATCGATACAAAGATACTAACTGGGGCGATGTATCTGTCCTTGAAACTTTCCACAAATCCTTGCATTCTTTCACCCCTACCCTAGAACATTGTGTTAGCATAACGGGACCAAAGAATGCAGAGCTCGGTTCACACTAGTGCGAAAATAGTGTTACAACTTGCCATGTGAAACAAAAGTAAATGAATATTAAACAACATATGTAGCTGATTCCAAAAGTAAGGTCTCCAAAGCGCTGGGTAATTTTTCGTGCGGCTGTTGGCAACCCTGTTGCATTCGTTGCTTCCCCCACTCCCC